TGATACCCGTTAGGGCCAACCAGATCTGCCATCTCTCCGAAGAGCAGGTTGGCACCAGCTCGTCTAGGAGAGTGAAAGCACTGAATTGTTGATCTTTACTTGTTGTATAGAGTGCAAGCTTTCAAACGTTACTACGATTTTTGAATCGAATGCATGGATGGGCGCATCCCGAAAGATAACCTACCAAACCGAAAATTTCAAAACGTTCGATTTATTAGTATGTAGGTGGCTAATAAAGTTAGACTTTAAGAAAAACAAAGAACCGGTTTTGGCCAGTAATTTGATAATTACGTTCTAAAAAAACATCACTTCCACAACCATAAAGGCGCCTGATCAGCTCGTAAAGTTGTTTTAATTGTTCGCCTTTGTTCAAACTCTCACTCCATAGTCTCTCATTCTATTCATTGATCGATGGATGAACAATTTCGAACAACATTACCTATCCTCCCCGTTACTACCTGCCGATAAACAAGGATAATCCCAAAAACCTCGCCAGCTCTCGTTAGATCGTGATGATTCACAATTGAACCATGAACAGTGCATCCTTCGAGAGTTGTAAGAACATCTGCATGAGACCTATGGATACATCACTGGTAGAACAAACACATTAGTTCGACGGACAGAATTTTTTTTTTCATAAAAAGTTGAAGAAAATGTAATTACGTTTCTGAAGGGAAGATAGAATGCCAAGGCAAAAAAGCCTGGGCTAAAACTGCTTATTACGTAGCTAGGCTCGTGCAACAGGAACGCCTCCTTAGGCAATCCCGCCCCGCCTTCTTATAACTTGTAAAACACGATGAAATCGGCTCTGCAAAGTGAAAGTTCTTATGCCACTCTTGAACACGGAGGTGACATCAAGGGACAATAACCTTCTAGATCTTATGATTGTCATTTTCCCGTACATCCCTCAAACGCAGATCGATGTCGTAATTGTTCCCCTTTAAATCTTATTCTATAAAAGGCATACATTACTTCCACATCCATTTCCGGCTACCATTATACAAACAAATTTCATCACTGTGAGTTTTTATAACTTAATTTCATTTATTCTTTAATTTCATTTACTCTTTCTTTTCTGTTTTTTTCTTCATAAGATTTGTTAACTGTTTTAATAGGTTATTTCAATTGTGTCTTACTCCTTTCATAGATAGGTTGTACCAGTTTGATCACTAATGTTGCAGCTTTTAATTCTTAATTTTCCTATTTCAAAGATCAAAGCATTTATAGTTACTCAAATACCATTTTAATCTTTTGAATAGACGTTGTTTTGACTAACAGAGCCCGGAGTGATGTGAGTAAGAATATCCACGAGCTAAATCAGTGCTGCATCTCGAAATCAGTGAATTGAATTAGATATCAGCTCGAGCAAAATTTCAAATTAGTTGCTGTATTTGTCATTGGTTTCTTGGGATGTTATAAAAACGATGATCAAAAAGTGTAGCAAAAGAGGCGGGGCGTTCAGACTAAACTTCAAAAGCCAGCTCTATCAATCTATTGAAGATGCTTCTCCAGAGGTCACCATCTTATACTGCTCTGGCTCACATTCTCTCTCTCTATACTGTGAAGGAACTATCAATTCAAAGTAGAGTTTGATTGTCGACCAGTCTCAGTTCAGAAATCAATTTTTGATTTTCTCACGTCTTATTGGGTTTTTCGATCATATCAATGAACCAGGGCCTCTCTAATGAGAATCGTTCATTTCCCTGCAAACCACGGAATGCAGTCATTGGCTGTCAGTCAGCAGAAACTCGTTCCGGTCCAAAGTGTAGAAAAGAAAGTACTGGTTACAACCTATGCAACAACAAATGATATCGAGTTCTTCTTTTCTGAAAAAAAAAATAATTCGTCTCCTAATTCACCTGAGTGTTCTGCGATCGCGACCTTCCTTTTGAAGTTCAACGATAGAAACTTTAATAAAACTTCACAATTAAGTTGCTTTAAACTGCTGTTTTTGTTTTTGTTTACTCTTGTCTTTAGCGGCGCAAAAAACTAAACATTTTTGTGGTCGACGTCGTTCGCTTCTAAACAACACCCTTTAGATTCTGGAATTTCAGGAGTGATGAGTGAAGCATAGCCTTAAACTTTGACACCTATAAAAGGTTCTCTTTTACTTTCTACTCGTGAGTACTCAAAGGCAATAGCTTTTCAAATTTGAAAAGCATTTCAGTCATTCTAACAATCCTTTGCGATATATGCTTACTAGTGAAGTTCCATGCAAAATTGGTTGCATTCCAATGTGCATCCAGTCCTTGCAGCGATGTGCAGGACCAGTCNCTATAAAAGGTTCTCTTTTACTTTCTACTCGTGAGTACTCAAAGGCAATAGCTTTTCAAATTTGAAAAGCATTTCAGTCATTCTAACAATCCTTTGGGATATATACTTCATAGTGAAGTTCTATGCAAAATTGGTTGCATTCCAATGTGCATCCAGTCCTTGCAGCGATGTGCAGGACCAGTCAATTGTTCAGTCAGTTTTTTTGCTTCCAGACTGGTTTGGTAGCATTTTACCAGTTCCGGAAGTCGAGCGCGTCCCGAGTAGGACCACCGTTGATATAAAAGTCGATCGCCTTCAGAAGTGAGTAGCTCAGATGATCGGGCAAATTCGGTTGTATGTAGTCCCTTTCTCCACTGCGCTATCTCCTATCTACAGCTCAATAATAGGCAGACATCTCAATAGGAATCGGCACACGAAGCAGCTAGAATAGAGAAAAGGCTATGCATCTTGAAAAGGGACGCGATGCGAAGTTCTTAGCATCTCGTTCAGAAGATTTCTGAAGAATTCATCGTAACTTCCGTCTTTTAATAATTTTCTGGAAGCTGTTGTGGAGCTTCACGTATAAAACGTATACAAAAGTCGATTACAAGTTTGCTATTCCCGAGTTTTTCTTAATATCATCTTTATTTGGAAACAGTTTCAAACATAAAACTGTGAATTTGCTAATCCTTCAGGTTCTAACGGTATCTACGATCTATGGCTGCGTTATGGGCAGTGTGTGGACCAGAATCCCTCCGTTGTTCCTAAGATCTACACCTCGGTAGTGCGTTAAGGGTTAGAACCTACATTGACCATAGGCGAATTTATTAATCGTACCCTATCCACACCTAGAAAATCAATCTTTCGCGAATAATTGACTTTGACTTTTTGAATTTTGACCACTGATCTCACGCTCTACTTTGGTCTTTCGATTTTCATAAAAAAAAGAAGGATATGAACACTATAATAAATAACTTCTGCGTCGTTTAACCAACATATTTCTTAGATTTTTTGAATTATCACTTTCATTTTGAAGGTTGTTGATTGTACTAAGGCCTCAAAACTCCCAACGTGCTGAGGCAGATATATTTTTCAAAATTACTGTCGATTTCTCACATTGCTCCCATTGCAATGGAAAATATCACCTGACTTTAGTGAAAGCAAAATGAAGTTCCTTTATAAAATGTCCATCTAAGCATTTGGGATGTTTGACGGTACAATGAGGTTGTCTTCACTCCCATAGGCCATACACTTGAGTAATCGATAAAATGGCCCAATTAAACAAAATCTTACCTCTGTGATATTTTTCGTTCCTTGAACTCCAATATGAGATTCTATACTTGTCCGAACGTCTATGGGTTTCTATCCGGTCAAACTTAAGACCGATTTCAGGCGTCTGCAAGAAGAAAAAGTAATCTCTGACTCTCTGGATTGCAGATCAGTGTACTAATTTATAGTCAGTATTGAGAATGGTCCTTGGAAAGACAAAATGCAGCTTTTTAACTGCAATTTCTCTACCAACTTATTTCCACAGAATACAAACCCGTCCCGCAGGGAGAAATGGGTGGACAGGGGTGGGGGAAAAGTGCCAGTAGGTGAGAAAAGGTATCCATAAACATCCTATCACATATTTTATGCAAATTAAAAATTACCCATGCACTCCTTTTCTAAATATCACCTCCTCCAGCTTTAACGAGTAATCAAAATCGCTTCTGAGTCGGGCCCTGTAAGGCCCAATCGTGAAACTTCCTCTTTAACTATCGGATTAGGCGGAATCGGCTGGCCCCGAAACATTGTGTACGCCGCATACGTATTCAAACACACTAGAATTCAAATTAAAGTTGAAAGCATGTGCGCATTCCTGAATGGAATTTACTACCGATTCCAATAAAAATTTTTCTTTTTACATTGAACGCCACTCGATTCCGTTTCTCTTATAGACACTCTAATCCTGCGTAACAGTCAAAGGATACAGGGAACATACTAGCTACTGCTTTGAACAGATCTTATCTCATTTCACCAAGGGATTATTACCTACTAATTTCACTTGCCAAAGGTCAGACCAACTTTACCAAGTGCAATTTCATGATCGAGTACAGAGAGCAAAGTACAATAGTGTCTGCGTAACCTCCAAACGACTTTCGTGACAGCTGCTCTGACATTTACGAGATGAACTGCCGCAGCACACTTTCGATTACTTCAGGGAATCTTATTTTTTTCTCAAATTCCTTTATCAGAAAGCCCCTTCAGATTTTCGTCTCACCTTCGTCCATCAGTCTGTTGTTGTTTATACCGTCGACCTCCCAAGTATTGTAAAACTTTTGAGATACCCTGACCAGCTGAATAGAGTAAAAATCAAACAACTTTTTGATTACAATCCTTGCCGTTACATTTCAGTCCAGGGGCGAGTCATCCAGAGACCGGCTAGACTATTTCCAATGACGACTCGTCCTTCAAAGACTTCTTTGACGAATTTGCTGACTCAACTCATCCTCACGTTTTACTACCTTTTTCGGGGTTCATAAACCCCGCTTCCGTGGCTACGACAGCAGTCTCGCGACTCCCGAAGATTCTCGGTATCGGTTCCTTGATGGAACGGCTGTTGTCATCGGACAGAAGCCGTTCCAACCCCCAATTCACCTTGCTATCTTTATCGCCGTTTATACTAAGAATTGATTTGTACAGTTACTATAACGTGAGGCGCCTACCGTAATCTATAACCAATATGAGACGTCGATATTCAGGAGATGTCAAAGGTGTTTGTCCACATCTTTTTGATATGCGGGTTATCATATGGTCGACATGTACGACGATCAGCCGATGAGGAGACCACAGGTAACTATTTGGTCGGAACGTGTTAACAGCTCTAAAAAATCCGTCCTATGCCTATCGGACCCAAGTCGGTCTGGAAGCGTGAAGCGACCGCGCGCGTCAGGTCTTGCAGAGCACAGACATTGCTCAAAAATATCGAGTTTGTAGTTTTTTGGAACCATTATGAATAAGTCAATATTTTAGAATTGGCTGCAGTCGCTACGAAAGATCCTCCAGCACCAGATACGATTTTCCCCGTTCAACATGTACGAGAAATTCAAAGTGGTTATTTGACTTTGAAGGATTCCCAGCTCGGCTCTGGATCAGCAGAAACGGAAGACGCCACGTCACCACCATGTGTACCTAGTAAGTTAGCATCTTGGCAGGTTCATTAGCTCAATTCAAGATTTGGAACAATGCCAACTAATTTCACACTGTAGACAAAGAATCCTTGATAGGTGGATACGCTAAACCCTCCCTCTACAACCAGCTCCAGGAGAAGCGAGCTCGACCATTTCCTGGGTGGCACCCATGATCTTTCTTTTACTAGAAAGCCACCTGACGCTACCGCTCCCGCCATATTGTGTTTTTTCGGAAATTATCGTTTTGTAAAATCAAAAGTGAAACTCTGACCACGCCGAAATATAGCTCTATAACAAACCAAGTAGCTTTTCCACATGGTTTTGACACTTTTTTCACTTCATAGCATCTTACTTTGATTGAAGACGTGTTTTTTTGGCCAAACAGCTGCCCAAATGCCGGCTGTTCGTGGTCAGATCCTCATTGCCATCGTAGAGCTAAGGAGAATCTCTGTAATCAGGGAGATGCAGAACCACGAGAGCCTATTTTCGGAAACAGAGCTCGCATACTTGTCGTATAACTGCTTCGTTCTTAGGTTAGGTGGTCAACTGAAGATCGGTGCAATACTACTTTTCCAACTGCGCCATCTTCTCTTTCCCCTAGCGTTTCCNAGGGCCTCAGAACAAATTTTAAGAAAGGGCTCCAGATTAGAGGAAGCAAGATGCATTCGCAACCACGTTTCACCCATGTGGTAGTGCCCATCTAAGGGGTTCAATTGGAATCCGAACTAACGGCATTGCAGGCGATGGTGCCACATCCAACCAAATCACCACCCAAACCCCTGATACCTTATAGAGGAGGTAATGCTCTCCTAAACAGAAGACCTCAGAATTAATGATTCTTATAAATTTTCGACTCTCGGAAGAAAACTGCTGAAAATCCAATTCCCCAAAGATGGCGCACTCACGCTATAGGATCCATTTTTGTTTTATACAACAGATCACGCTCATATATAGCTCTTACCCTTCACTGTTTCAATTTAACCATTTTCATTGATATGATCCCTTTACAGGGAATTCCCCTGAAGGTATCGCTCGACTTTACATCATTGCCAAACAAAAGGCCGAAGAAAGCAAAGCGACGACGGTACCACCATCTCCTGGTGCCGCCGCTGCCGACCCATCGGCGGATCCGGCCACGAAGTTGTCGGCCGGCGACGAACTACCGCCCGTCATCGATGGACCCACTAAACCGCCTTTCAACGACACCACTCCCTTCAATGGTATCGATGTCAGTGAAGTGATGGAATTACGTATTGTAAAACCCCTTTGTGATTATTGAACGCTTTTTGTATACTGACTTGATTTCGTTTTTTATTTTTTTTTACCTTTTTTTCTTATTTTTTCTTACACACTCTGTGATTCATTGCTCGTGTACATTCGACGCATACTTGTAGTGCTAAGCACATTTTGACGTGACGGATCATTAGAATAAATGTTTTTCCGTTGTGTCAATGTACAACATAACGGTCCTGTGGGTATCGCCAGTTGGAAACGGACAACTCGTACAAAGGTAGCGACTAACTAACTCTACCTCTAACCTTGTTCCAAAAAAAGGAGGGGTTGCCTTGATAATTGAAAATATTGCCTTCAACATCACACGAACCCATCAGGATAAGCCATGCTTTCAACAAAAACAAAACGATGTAGGCATTCGAATATGCGCGCAGTCCAAAACCCCACGACAAACCACCTAACGTTGAAGCCATTACCCTCATCGTCTCGCATATTTGTTGATTCCATTAGGCCTTACTGTTTTCTGTTTTTTCAAAGCAGACCTCCTTTATTTTCTTCCTATTACTCTAAAAAAAACCCTACGTAACTGTGAAGGAAGGGCTTCAAAATCAGTCAAATAACTTATGATACAATCCCTCCCCTCAAATCGAAAAAGGTACAGGGCGATTGTTCTCATACCTTTCACCCCTGTCACTCGTTTCCCTCAAACTTCTCTTTGCGTCTCCCGAACACTTCCCATTGCCTCAGAAAAATCCAGCAAAATAACTGAGACAGGGCTCACCTTGACTATGGCGGTTGCAGCTTATCCGAGCCAGACTTTATCTTATGGATGAATTTCGATGAGATCCTATGCTTGTTGGTTGACCGGCGACTCGATTTCTTCTCGATAAGATTCGATAAGGTAAAGCCTAGAAGAAGACTAATGACCACTGATCTTGAAGACAGACGTATCAATATGCAGTAAGGATCACGTTCTATTGCATAGTCGCCAAAAACGCTTTCTTCACTTCAAGCCTACTCCCTTCTGCTTCTTCCCAGAGATACGAACCCCATACCCCCGTCAAATCAACTCTTCTACAATTGACTGTTTTGCAATTAACATGGAATGCCACATCACACATTTGGCATATCTGATACTCAGGTTGGAAAGTATAAAAGTACTTGATTAATTAAATACAAAGGTAATGATTGCCACGTCAGAGCCTGATATCACTACAAAATCTTCATTTCCCTTCATTTCTACATCGTGACTGCCCTGATCTTTCTTCAATCGCCTATTCCTCCACATAGCTAGGAGTTCTTGAATTCTCCTACCGCGTAGTCCGGAGATTGAATCCGGATCGACACTTGCCTCGACCAAACAATCCACCAGTTCCTCCGGGGATGTAAGGCTTGGTAGGTAGAGAAGAAACTATCAACTAGCCTCTACCGCTACATTTCGATAAAAGGACGATAACTCGTCCTCTGGTAGCCTCTCAATGGATACATATAGTTTATCTTATTGCATTGTTCCCTAGCTTTTCAGTTGTCCATAAGTTCATAAGACCCACTCTTGGGGACCCAAATCGGAATCTTGTCGCCCTGGAAGATGTTTCTCATTTCATCAATGAAGCGGCTACCGTCCTCAGGAGGAGCTTCCTCGATCTTTTCAAGCACTTGCTTACTACATCTTCACTGAGCTGGTGTTACTTCTCACGTGCTATCGTACTTAATTTATCGCAACAACATGACATCGTTTAGATGAAGTCAATGGTGACTGTCCATGTCTTTTTGATATTTGGTTTATCGTATGGGGGAGTTGTTCGACGACCACCTGAGGAAGTCGGCTCAGGTAATTCACTCGAGTCTACCCAAGAATTGCTCAATCGCTTCAGGAGCATACAGACGTTCTTGCGCTTTTGTAGACAGAAACACTGAGTTCGTTAACCCTAGTACCCAAAAGTGCCAAAAGTGGTCATGTAAAGAATGTTAACAAGTGGGATGAGATCCAGCTGGATCAAGGACCTGTTGAGGAGGACATCTACAGTCTGATCTGAATTTCGTCACGACTTGCCTGCGTTCATCGTCAGGTTTTTGATATACCTTTCTGATGCAAGTCTCGAATACTTCTTTCCAATCAGTCACTCATTTTGGCTACGCCGACATGCAGGCTAGCGACCGCACAGGGTATATTACTAGGGTCACAATACGTAGCTTTGCCACAAACCTAGTAATACTTCAGTGAGAAATACTTATCAGCGAGGGACATCAGTGTAAATTGTGCACTATCATGGGAAATTCAGTTCATAAACGATTGCAGTGACAACAAATAATCATTCTGCACCGGATAGCAATCAAATAGATCGTTATGTGCGAGAAATTCGAAGAGATTCCAAGAACTCAATGCTCAGTAATGGACCAACCAAAACGGGAGACCCGTGCATTCTAGGTGAGTTTAACAACTCAGAAACTTCCTGAAGCCACTTATAAGTTTCTAGAGTTGACATAGCGCCATGTCAGGACCTCTCCCTCTGCTCTCCTCAGGTTCGCAGCTCTCGGACGTCGCTCTCCAAGAGCATCAACTTTTCAGCTCGATCATACTTCAATTTAACTCTGTAATATGTAACCTTAAAGGCACAGTTCACGATAATTTTGAGGTACAACTTTTTATTCAGAAAGCGGAAGTATAGGTTGGGAGTAGTTCGTCGGTAGTGAAGAAAGCGAGAAAATTAGCCGAATTTGTATAAAATTAGGCTCCCCAAAGGTAGGAAAAATAGAGGTTGGACAAGATACCGTGACAGAAATAACTTGGAAGTGGTATTCGGACGAGACTCACTGTTGTTATGGGTCATGACAAGTTGTTTGAACTTCCTACAAAGGTTCCTTGCGAATGGCACAGCCTCTAGTGCCGGTAAAACTCCTCCGAGGATACACACGGTACAATCTTTGAGCCTTTATAACACCCTAACTAAGCCGTTTTCCGACCTGATAGCGCCAGATGGTATACAAGGGGGCCTCAAATTCATCCTATGGGGTAATCGCAGAAATCGCTTTTATCGTGAACTGTGCTTTTAACTGTAAAAAGTTACTTTCATCTGATCTCCGCGTCCATTTCTTCAAGCGATCTTATACCGAGCTCTTCAGCCAAACAGCTATCCCCACTACTATCCAGCAGCTAGTGTAAGGCAGAGTGCCGT